TCAAAGAATASACTTTAAAATACTGCTGTTAGTTTATGAATCACTGAACGGTTCAGCACCACAATCTGTATTGCTGTACCAACCGTCTAGACCTCTCAGATCTTCTGGTTCTGGTCTGCTTTGCATCCCCAGAACCAGAACCAAATGAGGAGAAGCAGCATTCAGTTTCTGTGCACCACGGATTTGGAACAAACTTCCAGAAAACTGTAAAACAGCTCCTGGAAGCCTTTAAATCTCAACTTAAACACACCTGTTTAGAGTTGCTTTGGCTAAATAAGGATTAGAGTTTGGGTTTTAATGTCTTCAATGTATTTGATGTTTTTAATGTTTTTATCTTTTCTTTTCATCTCACATGCTGTTTTTATTTTAATTATGTAAAGCACTTTGAAATGTCTTGCTGCTGAAATGTGCTATACAAATAAAATTTGATTGATTGGTTGATTATCTTATTGTTTTTCATTGTTTAAAATAAATAGTCACAAATATYAGATAAACGGCATGACAACTAGACATTCATAAATGTTTCATGATTATATACRATGGATTACAAACAGGTTGATCAAGGCCCAACAGGAAGTCCAAACGATCAGCTCTGATGGGAGTGGATGGTCTAGGAGCTCCATCAAGTGTTCAAAAGCAGAACTGCAGCCACTGATTTAGAGCTTTGCAGATATTTACACCTAATTTTATACACAAATATACACACACCGGCCACTTTATTATGTACACCTGTCCAACTGCTCAMTATAATTACTARATTATATAAAATACAAAACTCAGTAAAAATACAGAAGTTACAGTTTTTATTGACTGGTTTGACCTGTTTGAAGGAACTGGGAACCTCTCAGTCSTCATTATCACCATCTCAGCAGAGCAGAAGACACATCTTGCAGTGTGTTAACCCATTCTCATTGGARTGACACAGTTTTCCACCCTTTAGCGAAACAGTTAACGCAGATGTCAAAAACTCTGTCCCAACTCTGTTTTAGCTGTGGTTACAGAACAGAAACCATCCCTGATCAGTTTAAAATCACAGAAAGCCCCTGTTTGCAAATTGAAAAATTCTGTGAATAAGTGTCAATCAGTCTGCAGGCCTGTGTTGTTCTCTTATACTCTTATAGTGTAGGCCTTGTAAGACCTCATTTTGTAATAACAGCATATTATGTAATAACGTAATAAATTCAGGCACCAAAATGTAATAAATAATTTGAATTTTCAGTCTAATTCTTGTGTATATGGATGTATAAAGCAATCTCACGTTTTTTTTTCATGTTTTACGGAATCTTTCAAAAACTTAGTTTCTAATTTATTCAACATGTCAGAGCCTGTAGGACGTTAAAAACAATTAATAACATCAAATATCCACTTCCAACCCACTCTATTGCTGGAAACAAGTTCTTCAAACCTCATTTCCTTCTGATGCAGAAGCCGACAGTCCACCTGCACCACGCCCCCCTCCCCCCGGCGTGTGATTATAGTTTTTATTTTTTATAAACATTACAGAATTTAAGGCTCATTATACAGGTAAACGTCTGAAGGGTTTGACATGTATGTACAACTAACTTTTAGATATATTTTGGGAGTTGTCTACAAAGTGAATAAAATCTAAAACAGGGATCAGGACAGTAAATCTGAAAATGCAAATAAAAGATGAGAAGTTCGGTGTTTATTGATCAAAGTTATAAAGATTTAATTATATAGTATTTGCAACATGACAGTTATTACAAGTATATTGATTAGGATGAACAGAAATACTGGTTTTTGATTGTTTATTACATAATGCACCAGATTATTACACCACCACATTTTGTAATAATTGCTGCAAAATGTAATAAATTTATTACATAATGTGTTGAAGACTTTTATTACATTTTGTGTCAATTATTACATAATGCAGTTTTAGCGTGAGTTGATTACATTTTGAAGCCTGATTTAAATACATTATTACAAAATGAGGTCTTACAGACCTACTATAGATTTTTGTTCTTTACTGTAAAAGACTGTACTTTATTTACATAATTTCTCACACAGTAAAGGATTTTATTTTTATTTCCATGTCTGTTGGAATATTTCATTTGTCAGGCGCAGTCTGATAAAAATATAATCAATAAAATTTGCATCAGACCATATCTGCTTCTGGATGCATTTTTTGCAAGAGGGTAAAATTGACTACAAACAACACTGGCATGTAAGCTACGTACAGTCAGAGTCTACAATGACAAGCAATGGTGCACTGATTCACACATGAGGGCTGTATTTTTTATTTTGTTGCCCATTGTGTACTGATTGATTGGAGGTGCTCMCACTGTGTCAAAGTTGAGTTGTTTGAAGGCAAKATTTGCTTTTGTTCCATATTTTAAATGTTTTGACATAGTTGTTGCCTTTTYCAAACKAAATGTGTCATTTTGACCACTGTGTCTATGTTTAGGCCTCTGTGTTAACCGTTTTGAATATGTGTTTTTTGAGTTGACGGCTGCGTCAAAACAATCAATAAAAACTGTAACAGAAAGAAATCGAAAAGAAGATGTAAAGATGAGACTAAGAGTAGGGCATTCCTATTTAAAGGACTTTTTATATTTAACAGGAAAAAGGAATGATAATTGTGAGAGTTGTGTGGAACATGTTCTGATGACYTGTACAAAGTACAACACGGAAAGAGAGGGGATGAGGGGAAAAGTAAGAGAGGTAGAGAGAGAGAGTGGAGTTTCAAAGGGATGTTGGGAACAGAAGGGGATAAGGAGGCAATGTGCAAAATGAGAGCATTATTTTTATTTTTACATGACACAAAATTAAAATATAGAATTTAGGTGGAGTTGTGAGGTTACACACTCATGCACAGTAGGTGGCGGTATGCACCTAAAACTTGTTGCAATCTGCCATTAAATTAAAAGAAGAAGAAGAAGAATCTCCTGCAGTTCAAACCAAGCATCAGTATGGGGAAGAAAGGTGATTTAAGTGACTTTGAACATGGTTGTTGGTGCCAGACAGGCTGCTCTGAGTATTTCACAAACTGCTGATCTACTGGGATTTTCACCCACAACCATCTCTAGGGTTTACAGAGAATGGTCCGAAAAACAGAAAATATCTAGTGAGCAACAGTTTTATGGGCGCAAATGTCTTGTTGATGTCAGAGGAGAATGGTCAGACTGGTTGGAGCTGATGGAACAGCAACAATGACTCAAATAACCACTGGTTACAACTGAGATCTGCAGAAGAGCATCTCTGAACCAACAACACGTCAAACCTTGAGGCAGATGGGCTGCAGCAGCAGAAGACCACACCAGGTGCCACTCCTGTCAGATAAGAACAGGAAACTCACTAAAACTGGACAACAGAAGATTGAAAAACGTTGCCTGGTCTGATGAGTCTGGATGTCTGCTGCAACATTCTGATGGTTGGATCAGAATCTGGTGTCAACAACAAGACAGCATGGATCTAGTGATGGCAAAACGAGGCTTCATGAACCAATGAGGCTTTCCAGCTCAAAGGTTCATTATCRGAAGCCTCATTGACTCCTTCTCACTAGTGACACCTGCTGTGCAAAAGGAAATATGACAGGCTTATTTAATCCTGAGTCAGAGAATCCTTGAATGTCTATCAAATATTTTTGCCACATCTCAATGAATATAAGTGTGTTTTTACATAGAATTTTTTTGAGTGATGTGATGTTGAACATGAAAAATAAATTCTTAAAAGCTTGTGGAACTGAAAGGAAACTGCAACAGATGGAACAAATATAAATTAATGATTTTTATTCAAAATGAAGCTTTTTAACAGTGTTTGGGTTGAGTCGATTCCTTTTCCTAGACACAATTTCCCCAGCCTTTGAACGACTACAAATAAATGGACTTTATTTCATAAAGTACATTTTAAGGGAGATTTACATTAATACCACACCTTCATTTACTCAAATACACACATGTCAAACTGCAGTCATCAAATAACGTTTGTAGATTTTTTTTTGTTTTACTTTTTGTAAGGTAACTGAGTTAAAAGCAGGACAATGTGTGTGCCTCACATTGTGCACATTGGGACTGGTGTGGGACAGATGTGCTGTTTTTCAGCTCCACGTGCATCGTGCTCCTGTGGCCTGTAGTGTGAGGTGCGCGGATGAGATTTTCTCTGATAAAATCCTGCAGGCGCCGCATCTGAGGCAGAACTGCAAAACCAACATGACAACAGTGGTGGCTGGTGTATTTTTC